AGTGTTCTGGGATTCCCATTCTTCTCAGAGTCAGCCACAGTTTGTTATGATCTACACAGTCAAATGCCTTTGCATAGTCAATGAAACACAGATAATATGGTAAGCATAAAAAATTCAAGCTGGATTCAGAAAAGGCCATGGCATGAGGATTATCACTTCTGGTCTGAGATGAATCTTGGCTGAACACAGAGAATACCTAAAAGATGTTTACTTGTGCTTCACAGATTACATAAAGGCACTTGACTGTGTGGATTATAACAAATTATGGATAACATTGAATAAGAATAGTAATTCTAGAACACACTAATTGTGCTTATGTGGTATCTACACATAGACCTGCGCTATGCGTTATGCAGACGACACAACCCTGCTTGCTGAAACTGAAAAGGACCTAATGTGCTTTCTGCAGAAGGTCAAGGACTGCAGTCTTCAATATGGATTGAGGCTCAACATCAAGAAAACAAACATTCTCACCACTGGGCCAATTGGCAGCATCAGTATGGATGGTGAAGAGATTGAGATAGTTAACAGTAACACTCTTAGTAACGCAGCCAGGAAATCAAGAGACGAATTGCATTGAGAAAGTCAGCTGTGAGGGACCTCTCAAGAGTACGGACGAGCAATGACATCAGGATGGAGACTAAGGTGTGTCTGATCCAGGCTATAGTCTTGCAATTACGTGCTATGCATCGGAGAGTTGGACAGTGAATAGGGATGATAGAAAAAGAACTGATGCCTTTGATCTGTGGTGCTGAAGAAGAGTAATGAATATACCATGGACTGCTAGGAGAACAAACAGGTTTGTACTGGAGAGGGTGAAGCCAGAATGCTCCTTGGAGTCAAGGATTCTGAAGCTTCGTCTAACATACTTTGGGCATGTTGCAAGGAAGGACTGGTCCTTGGAGAGGGACATCATGTTTGGGAGAGTGGAGGGACGGCACAGGAGAGGAAGACCGATTCTGTGAGTGGAGTGGTGGGAATGACTGAGATGGCGAGGTTGGCGAGGATAAAGCGGCGTTTAGGGCTCTTGTACATAGGGTCGCTATGAGTTGCAAGTGACTTGATGGCACATAATAACAACAACAACAACAACAACACATAGACCAAGAATCAGTTGTCCCAGTAGAACAAGGGGACACTGCATTATTTAAAATCAGGAATGGTGTTTGTGTCAGGGTTGTATCCATTCTCTATACCTATTCATTTGCATGCTAAGCAAATAATTCAAGAAGCTTGGTTGCAGAAAACGAAGCACTAACTAAAGAAGCTCAAAGACTATTACAGCCTTCAACATTGACTTGATCTCAACATCAAGAAAACAAAAATCCTTGCCACTAGACCAACAGGCAACATCATGATAGATGAAGAAAAGATAGAAGTTGTCAACAAATTCTTTTTACTTAGGTCTACAATCAAAACCACTAAGAGCACAAGAAACGAAAATATGTGATGCACTAGTAAACTCTGCTATCAAGGAACTAGAGAAGAAGTACGTCAGGTTAAAGACTAAGGTGTGCCTGATCTAAGGAATGGTCTTTTCAATTGATTCCTATGCATCTGAAAGTAGAGCAGTAAATTAGGATGACAAAAGAAGAATCCATGCCTTTGAATTTCAGTGTTGAAGGAGAGTAATGAATATCCCATGGACTGTCAAAAGAACACACCTGTGTTTCTTGGAAGAAGTGCAACCAGAGTCCTTAGAGACAAGGATGGTGAAACTTTGCTTCTTTCATACAGATCTAGTCTGAGTATGTTGGCAAGAAGGGTCAGTTCTTGGATAAAGACTTCATACTGGGACAAGCAGAGGGTCACTGAAGGAGAGGAAAACTCAAACAAGATAAAGTGACCCCATGACTACAATAATGGCATGAGCATGATGGAAACTGCGAGCACGGTGCAGGATGGGGCAAGGTTCAGATCTGTTTTTCAGTGTTGCTCAAGGACACCTAAACACAATAGCAGCAATTAAAGAACTCTGGGGGCGAGTCCACAGAGCGCTGTTAACCAAAGGTAGCTCCTCTCTTTCAGCATGATCCCACCAGCTGCTCCTTGGGAAAAAGATAAACTCCTCCCTTTCAATTTACTGTCTCTCCAAATTACGCTGGAGAGTCAGCTATGAGTCAATTCCAACTTGACAGCAATGAGTTTTTGAATTATTATTTGCACTGTACCTTATTATGTATTCATTTATTCTTTACAAATGACCTGTGAAGAATTTAGTATTATTAGTATTACTATTTCCATTTTATGCACTCACTAATTGAGTTCAACAGCTTATCTTTTTCTTAATTAGATAAGCCTAAAAAATGAAGGTCATTATACAACTGCTTGCTTCCAAAATGCCAAGATGGAAGTCATTATCAGGAAAGACAAAATGAAATTCATGAGCTATTCTAGACTAAAGGAAACTAAGAGATGTGATGGCTAAATGTGATGTGTAATTCTGGACCAAATAACGAGTAAAATTTTATATGGACTCTGTATCAGAGAGGGAGCTTTAGTGGCCTAAAGGGAAGGAAGGGATTTGCAGTTAAAGTCTATCAGTTGCTCCCAGAGGAAATATGGGCTATTTCCTCCCATGCAATTTATAGCTTCTGAAATTTCACTGCAAGATCAGCTATGAATTGGCTCTGACTTGACAGCAATGAGTTGAGTTGTCAAACAAAAACAGTAATAAAAATATTAAATCCCCTAAATTAGATTATGATTCTGTAGTTAAGAGAGACATAGTGAACATTTAAAGGTGAAGGATCATGATCTTCATAACTTACTCTCAAATGACCTGTCATCATAGTAAAGGAAAAGGAGACATAATAATAATAGAGAAAAAGCAAATGTCACAAAACGTTTATAACCAGTGAACCTGGTAATGAGAACCTTTTCTAGAAGTTAAAACATTTTTAGTAAACAAGTTTTAATAAATGGTAAGGAGAAAATATGGAAGATTAAAAACCCTAGTGTAACATGAAGAAAATACAACTTTGAACTGAGACACAAACAGAGACTTGTGCACCAATGTTTATAGTAGCCACTGTTGCAAAAACATGGAAATGGCCCAAATATACAACCACAATCAAATAGGTGGAGAAATTTTGGTACATTCACATAATGGAATATTATGCATCATGCAGGAACAATGATTTTCTAATATCTAACTTGGGAGTCAGTCCAATAAGGACAAATATTGTATAAGACCATTACTGTAGAAATAGATAACTTGTAAAATGTATATGAGGATCTAAGAGGAGGGAGCAGAGGGTTGAGGATGGGCGTGGGTGAGATAATAATAGGGTCATACATTTTGATGGGTGGAGGGAGGGATGAGTTAAGGAAAAAGGAATGATACTTTGTGAAAAAACAATGTATATAAACTTTGTGTGTAAACCAGTATTTAAAAAAAAAAGGAAAATACAACTTTTTCAGAATCACTCACTGAATAATGAGTTAAAGGAAAATGAACTCAAATCAGTGCTGCCACTAGATTATATGATTTTCTCTTCAATAAAGTCAAGATTCTAATGTGCCCTTCCTGAAAATTTGAGAAAAGCTCTTCTGCTTGATTAAAATTTCTCCTCATTTTTAACACAACTGAGTAAAAGTGTTCAGTAGCAAATAAAAATGACAGTGGGAGACAGATAAGGTTTTCTGTGTCCTTAAAAATGTACAGTTGTTATGCAAAGTTCTCCCCAATCCTACAGGGTTAACAGGAGTTCAGAATTAACTCCATGACAGTGGGTTTGGCTTGATTCAAAACTTTTTCTTTAAAATCAGGATGTTTATTAACCTATCTGACTCTCCTTAACTAATGAGAATCCACAGTTTGATTTAAACAATAAATGTAATAAATGAAATATATTCACAAAAGGCAATTAATATTACTAATAGGAGCTAACATAATTCAGAATCCTGGAGTTGTATTTGTTCTGAAAATCAGTTGCTATAGTTGTTATGTGCCGTCATATTTAACCAGTAAAATTTTTAAAAACATTTACTACATGATAGGACTTCTTCATCATTTTCTATCTCCAATGTATGTGTTGTTGTTGTTGTTAGGTGCTGTCGAGTCAAGTTAATGATTCACAGTGATCCTATGAATAAAAGATCTGGACCCTATTCTATCCTGTGCCATCCCCACACTTCTGACACACGCAAGAGTGCAGCAGTCACTGTGTCAATTCACCTGGTGAAGGGTCTTCCTCTCCGTCACCGTCCACCTTATCCAGCATCATGTCCTTCTCTAAGGAATAGCCCCTCCTGGCAATATGTCCAAAGTATGTGAGGCAAAGCCTCATCATTCTTGCCTCCAAAGAGGACTCTGGCTGTACCCTCTCCTAGACACATCTGTTTGTTCTTTTGGCCGTTCATGGGATGTTCAGTGCTCTTCTCCAACACCACAGCTCAAAGGTATCAATTCTTTTTCTGTCATCCTTATTCACTTTCCAGATCTCAGAAGACTATAGCCTGAATCAGATATACCTTAGTTCTCAAACTGACATCATTACTCAATACTTTTTGCTTAAAGGATGACAAAAAACATTCTTGCTTTCATCCCCCAAATGGTTTATTCCAAACATAGATGTTGCTTGTCAGTAAAATTTAACTGTCTTTATTTCTCCTCTAAAAGTGGATGGGGCACAGTACAGATGGGGAGAGAGATGAAGGGGTGTCTGGACACTTCTTAAATTGGTAACATTTACCCAAATGTGCTCAATTCATCAATACTCAGAATTATAAAGTTGCAATTTGCATAATCAATGAAACACAGACATTCCCTCTGGTATTCCCTACTTTCAGACAAGATCCATCTAACATTAGCTTAGGAATATTATGTTTCCTTTATAATAAGTTTCAAGCCACTAAATAAAAATTTGCATCCCTCCAAAAAAAAAATTATCAACACCCTTCAAACACAGAAAAGACCATTCCTACCTGGGAGACGTCTTTGTTCATAATGAATCCTGAAAACAGATACAGTCAAATCCAGTGCTCCAGGGGGAGGACTCAAGAGTGATGTTTTCCAGAGATGGCTTTAGTATCTTCACTCTCACCTCATTTAAGGACAATTGTGCAAACAACTAAAACAAATCACAAGGGGAAAAAAAAGAGAGATGGGAGGTTAAATGGCTATTTTACTCACTGAAAAATGACAAATATTAAAAATTCTAAGGAAAGAAAGCAAAATATACAAAACCAAATGGGGAAAAATGTCTGCTCTTCCCAGAAAGTTAACAGTGACTGAAACTCAATGGACAGTTATACTGTGCTGTTCTGAGTCAGAACAGCCTCAACTGGCACATATAACTATTGTTGTTGTTGATTGCCATTGAGTTGAGTCATAACAAACAACTCTATGAACAAAAGACCTGAAACAAAGTTCATAAAATTTCCAGGGGCATGTTGTTTAGGAAGTGGATGCCACTCCTGCTTCTAAACATAACAACTAAAGAAATGAATTTTCAATGAATCAAAACCTATCAAATGGGAAAATGACAATCTATTCAACAAAGGGTACTGGCAAACCAGAACATCTACCGGCAGAAAACTGAAGGTATATCCACATCATACACAAAAATCAATTCAAGTGGATCATCAGAGACCTAGGAGTAAAGCTCAGACTGTAAGGATTGTAAGGGGGGAGGGGGGGATGGGACCAATCCCTAGCCTAAGGCACAGAAAGGCCTCAAATATTACACCAGGAGAGGATAAAAAAGACAAATCAGGTCCCTGTGTGCATCAAAATATTTTTTCCAATAGGGTAAAAAGAAAACCTACAGACAGAGAAAAAGCATTTGGCAATGACATCTTAGACAAGTGTCTCATAACAAAAGTTTACAGAATACTAGACAGCCTTCATTAGAAAAAGATTGATAAGCCAATAACAAAATGGGCAAAAGACAGGAAAAGACCCCACCAAAGCAAGACATTTGGATAATCAACAGACACCTGGGCCATTTGAAATGCTCAAAATTACTGGCAATCAGAGAGATGCAAATAAAAACCATAATGAGATATCATCGCACCCCAGTACATTGGCAAAGTTTAACAGGACAGCAGGCAATAAATGTTGCGAGAGGATGTGGGGAGATTGGAACTCTCATACACTGCTGGTGGGATTGTAAAATGGTATAACCACTCTGGAAGGCAGACTGGTGTTTTCTCAAAAAGCTAAACATAGAAATCCCACATGAAGCAGCTATCCCATTGCTAGGAATATACTCCAAGGAAATTAAAACTGAGACATGAGCGGTGATATATATCTATACCTATGTCCATAGCAGCATTATTCACAATAGCAAGAAAAGGAAGTACTCCATTAACAAATAATTGGCTAAAAATACTGTGTTACATTTCACACAACTGAATACTATGCAGTACTAAGGAACAACAATTTTGCAAAATACGATATAACCTGGTAGAATAACATGTGTATAAAAGTCGAAGAGGAGAAGAAGAGGGGGAGAGGGGACAGAAAAAGGGGAAGAGTGGAAATCATTACAATAGCAGAGATTAGTAGGCAGATGGGGAGGTGAAGGAAGAGGAAAGATTCGGTGGGGACTTGAAAAGTAAGGTTAATAAAAGGCATAGATCAACAGTAATTAATTAAACAAAATATAATACATATGAGTGATTATAACACAAGGCAAATCAAAGACTGTATAATAAAGTATGTGAATGAATCACAATATATATGAATTATTGTATGCAAACCAATAAAAAAATACAAAATAAATTAATTTTCATGAAAATTTAAAATAGATGCTCTAGACCCAAATGGTTCCAGTTGTGAGAACTCTATTTAATATTTAAGGAAGCAATAATAGCAATTTTGCACATTTTCAAAATAAAGGAAGAGGGATGCTTCTAAATCAGTTTTAAGAAAGAAAATTAGTCTAATGAATATAGGTTGGTGGTTCAAACCCAGAAGAGCCTAGGAGGTAGACCTAAAGACCTTTCCAAGGAAGGTCCAAGCCTCAGAAACCCTACGGAGTGAGGTGTAGTTCTGCTCTGCACACAAAGGGTCATCATGAGTGGGAAATTACTTGGAGACAGCATAACAACAGCAGTTTCTCTCTACATTTTTTTTTCATTTGCATAGTCTATGTTCTCAAAGCTTAAAAATTCTTTTAAATGGTTTGCTTATTTTGTTTTCCATTATTTATTTCATATTTTCTTCAGGTGCTTGGTAATATTTAGTTGTTTGGGCATAAAAAGTTGACAGAAAGTTGTCATCATGTGTACGAGCTTACTGACTGCAACTTTCCCTGCAAGGCAATCGGACAAGGCTCTTGAATGGACTTAAATGAGGATGTATCCAGCTCTTGGTACCTTATTGGTTCAATGCCTGTAGGTGTTTATTTGTCACTTATAAGAAATAAATTACCAACTAGAGCATAACATTTATGTAAAGTTCTTTTACTCTCTAACTTTTTTCCTTTAACTTATTAGATTCCCCACTGAAGAGTCTTCCTATTTCCTACCTGGAGGGTATCCTAGTCCTTTTGGGCCAATTATATAGACTAGGCAGAAGTCCAAAGTATTAAAATGCCAGTGTTCATCCAATCCCTCTTTACCTTCAGTGTATGACATTTCTTGTCAAATGATCCTATATGATAACCTGAAGAATATACCAAAAATCTCCCATTTGTCATTGTCGCAAAGTATATTAGCTTGGAAGCAAAGAATGAAGAAGGAATGAGTGCTTTCAAAGTTGAGTTTGGCCACACTTCCCTATTTTAGTCTTTTCTTCACCTGTACTTTCAAAGTTATCCAAACCTAGAACTCTGTATGCTATTACTATTTCAAGTTTTTTCTCTCTCTTCAGTATTTCTGTCTGCTATTTTATAACTTTAGAAATTTTTATTACATGTGTGCTATTATAATCTTATTTTGTTCTGAGAATTTTAAAATCTTAATATCATTGAAAAGAAATTTAGAAATTAAAATTATTTAACAGTAGAAATTATTTATGACATAACTATTCATGCAGGAGTAGGATGGGCAATCTCCGCCTGAGCTATTAACTGCCTCTGAAAACCCAACGGAGGGTCAGCTATGAGTTGGTTTTGACTCGACAGGACAGAACACAATAACAATTATCAACAGGACTTAGAAAACCCTATGTATAATAGAGCACACCTAGATTAGACTAGCAGATATGACAGCAGAGGCTCAGCCTTTGTAATGGGAATCACAAAGGAAGAGGAACATTTACAAATGCTAGTGATTAGAACATGGAATGTGACAGGTATGAATGTAGGAAAGTTGGAGATTGTTAAGGAAGAAATAGAGTACATAAAGACTGACATCCTAGGCACAGGTAAAAGGAAATGGATATGCATGGGAAAATTTGAATCAAATAATCATACGATGTACTATGCTACAAATGAAAAGGTGATAAAAAATGCGGTCACATTCATAGTTAAAGACCATTTCTAGATCCATCCTGAAATGCAATGTTGAGAGTGACAGGACAATATCCACAAGCATACAAGGAAGACTGGGGTAAGATGGTATCTCATAGTTGTTTTGAATACCTTTTCAACTTATATGTGGAACAGATCATTAGAGAGGCTGGACTTTATGAGGAGGAATGTGGCATTAGGATTGGAGGAAAATTCATCAACAATCTGCATTATGCAAATGACCCTGCTTGCTGAAACTAAGAAAGACCTGAGGCATTAACTGAAGAAAGTCAAGGACTACAGCATTCAATATGGATTGAAGCTCAACATCAAGAAAACAAAGATTCTCACCACTGGGTCAACTGGCAACATTATGATAGATGGAGAAGAGATTAAGATTGTTAACAGTTTCCCATCAAATATGAAGGACAGATCAAGATATTCCCAGAAAAGCAAAACCTAAGAGAGTTTGTAAAAACAAGACCAGCACTGCAGGAGAGACTCAGAGATGTCCTTCTTACAGATATACCACAGAAAGCTCCATGGTCTAAAGTAACTAGCAACAACACCAAAAAGAACTCAACACAATGATAGTAAT